CCGGACCCAAAAAAAAAAAAATTAAAGTTCTCAACTTTTCACTTTGCTCTCCCTTCAGTTCATAAAGCATTTCCATTTCCCTTGTCAGTAACAATATTTAAATTCTGTGAGAATTCAGAATGCAAGTGGAAATGAAAGAATTCTGAAGTTGGACTGTGGAAACCCTGACACATCTCACTTGTCAACTCTGACTGATCAGAGCCTCAGTTTCCTCAATAACACAATAGAATAAAAATATCACTCTTACAACACTGATGTAAAGATTTTAGATTATGTCAACAGTAGAAAGACACTGTGGTTTTAAAATCGAAAAGGTACACAACTAATCAAGTCTACAGCAAGATACTACTCACTAGGATGACCACTATTGAATAACCAGGGTTAGGAAGATGTGTGCTGCTGACAGAAATATAAAATGGTGATAGAAAGATGGTATAGAAAACAATTCAGCAGTTACTCAGACTTTAGAAATAGATACTAGAAATAGAGTAGGAGTCAACAATTCTCCTTAGCAGGAATGCAACAGATTTTTATACATCTGTGTTCATGGCATCATATTCACAGTAGCAAAAACCATTAGCAGATGTGGGTACAAAAGAGATGTGGCATGGACACACAGTGAATGGAATAGTACTCAAGCTCGGAAAAGAAGGAGATCCTGGCACCTGCTACAGCCTGAAGGAACCTGTTACCCAGAAGCAAATCCTGCATGATTTCACTAACACATCAGGGACCCAGAGTAGTCAAAGTCCCAGAGCCAGAAAGCAGAATGATGCTTAGCAGAGGGGAGAATGTGAAAGGTTAGTGCTGAGTGGGTACCAAGTGGCAGCCTTGCAAGATGAAGGATTGTGCAGCTAAAGGTTAGGATGGTTTTACAACTGGGTGAATGTGCATACTGCTGACGAACTGCTGAAAATTGCCAAGATGGAAAATTTTATGTGTATTTTGTCATACACTCAAAAATGATGATGAATTGTGTAGGTAATAGTCCCAACCTTACAGAGTCAGTGTTCTTATTTTCCCAGATTTACATCTGGGGAAAGTAAAGCAGAGAGAAGTAACATGTCTAAGCCTCACAGCCAGAGGTGGAGCTGCAATTCAAGCACAAGCAGCTCTACATCCTGCTGCCCTGTCCCCTTACCATCAGAGTCCAAACACTAGGCCCCTCAGGTGATTTAGTTTTATCAACTTCCTTTCCTAATGGAGCTGAGTGGCTGCTGGCCTGGCCCTGTAGCCTCAGCCTCCCTGCAGTGTCTGGCCGTTATCTCAAATTGCTCAGCAGGGGATTCCTGGCTGTGTGGGGCGCCTGTGGTTTAGGCTGGCTTTTTTTGTAATCCATCCATTTAATTTTCCTGTCTTTAGATGGAGCCAGACCTGGAAAGGGGAGGATAAGGAGCCAGGCGGGCCTTCTGCTTCCATGCCCCTGGGTGGGGTTGGTAATCTTTTCCATACTGCAGCTGGACACAGACAGGGGAGCTTGAGACCTCTGCAGCAGAGCTAGGGGAGGAGGAAATGTAGCAGGCGGGGTTGAAGGGATGGGGGAAGGAGAGAAAGAGGGAAGCAGAGAATGCAGGGATCCCCCCTGGGTTATTTCAAACAGTATTCCCTGCAGGACAGCCTCAGTAAGGGAGTTCTTTTGCTCCTGTGTCCAGAAGCCAGAGACAAGACATCCAGAGAGAGCTTCTCTCTCTCCTGAGCCTTTAAGCGCTGCTCACAGTGCTTTGGTTCTAGATGGGACTGGCAGTGTGTCCAGTTTCAGGGAAGAAGAGGTGGAAGGAGAAGACAGCTCCAACTCCGTCTGCCCTCCTTTACGAAGCTTACCTGGGAGTGTGGAAGTTGGAAGGAATAGAGCAAGCAAGCACTACTGCCCACACTGGAGCCTTTCCCTCAGCTCCAGGAAATGGACTTTTTAGGAAAGTGGGAGAATGGATGTGGGTTAAGTAGACCAGTTTCTGTCCCAGCACATTTCCATGGTCTCTCTAAGAGCAGGCCTCTGCACTTGGAGCTGGGGTCCCGATTACCTGGAATTTTGAGAAACATTTGAGAGTCTGCATCTCTTCAAGGGTTAAAATAACAACTTACTATAAGTTATGTGAAGGAAGATGAGGGGGAAAGAGGCAGAAAGAAGAAATCCTGTAAATCCATTCATTAAAATTTTGAACTCATTGTAGGTAAATTATAAACCTCTAGTGTTCCACATCCATTTTCTTAGTTATTTACTAGTTGTCTTGTTTACCCTTCAGCAGAATATGTGTGCTCTTTTTCTTTTTTTAATGCGTGTGCTCTTAAATTATTCAGATTAACATTCTTGGAAGCTTCATTTTATTACAGTAGGAAATTCTGTTTGCAAATGTATTCTGAGGATTTTGCTCACAGCACAGCTGCTTTAAAAACTGGGAAAGGTTATTAGTATCCCATTTCATTTAAAGAAATGTTTTCTTGTGTTCTAGTCTGTTGAATTTCTCTAAAGAGAATAGTATTGGGGTCTGGTAGCATAGTGATCTAAAACAGAAGTGTGCTTAGCAGTTGAGTCTGTTTTAAACAAGATCTAAAACAATTGGTGAATAGGAAAGCTATGGTAATTCTCACTCTCTATCTCTTTTTCTCTTTCTCTCTCTCTCTCTCTCTCTCTCTCTCTTTCTCTCTTTTTGGGGGATAGATGGGTTTAAAACTCAGGACCTCACTTGAGGCCATGTCCCCAGCCCTTTTTGCCTTGGTTATTTTCAGATGGTGTTATGTTTTTGCCTAGGGCCAGCCTAGGTACAATCTTCCTACTATGCCTCCCATATTAAAAAAAAAAAAAACAAAAAAAAAACTATAGACATGAACCACCATGCTGAGGATCTTGCTTTCTGCCCTAGCTGGTCTTGAACTGCGTTCTCCCAAGTAGCTGGCATTACAAGTGTGTGCCAATGCTGAAACAAACAGTACAAAAATCAAGACAGCTATGGCATGGAGTAGGTCAGTAGAATAAAATTAAGTGCCCAAAAAGAAATCCATCCATCTATAGCCATTGATTTTCAACAAGAGCACCAAGAATACACAATTGAGAAAGAATCATCTCTTCAACAAATGGATTTTTGTCAGAGACTTGCATCCAGAATATATTCCAAAAAATTCTACCGCTCAGCAATTAAGAGGCAACCTAATTTTAAAAGTGAGCAAAGAATTTCAATAGCTGTTTCTCTAAGGAAAATAGAGTTATGGCCAATAAACACCTTGAAAAGATGACAGAAATGCAAAACCAAGATGGGATCCAGTTTATACCAACTGGAATGGCTGCAACTAAAAGTTTTAAGAAGTGTTGGCAAGGATGAGGAGAAACAGATCTTCATACACTGCTGGTGGATATGTAAATTAGATAGCTGTTCGGGAAAAATTAGGCTGTTCCTCAAGTGATTAAACAGAGTTACCAGATGACTCGGCCATCCCAAATCTTAAGTATATATTCAAGAGAAAGGAAAACATGTCCACATATTATTTGTACATGAATATGCATAGCAACAATACATGTAATAGCCAAAATGTGCAAACAGCCTAATAGATGCCAGATAGTAAACAGATAAAATGTAGTATACATACAGGGAAATATTTTTCAGCCATAATTAAGCATGAGGTGAGACATGTCTGCAGTTGCAGCACTTGGGAGGTTAAGACAGGAACATCATGAATTCAAGGCCAACTTGCTTGGGCTACATGATAAGTTCCAGGCCAGCCCATGCTACATTACAAGATCCTGTCTCAGTATCTCCTCCCATTAAAGAAGCAAAACAAAAAGCAGCACTGATAACATGCTAAAACATGGATAAATCTTAAAAGCATGTTCAATGAATAAAAACTGTCACAAAAAGCCACATATTATATAAAATGTCCGAGATAGGTCAATGCATAGAGAGAGAAAATAGATTAATCATTGTCCATTCTGGGTCTGGGTCTAGAGAAAAAAGAATGCACAGTGACTTTTATTGGGGATAGGCTTTCTTTCTACAGTAATGAAAACGTTTTAAAGTTAGAGTCTTGTAATGGTCACACAACTCTGAATACAGTAAAAAACACTGACCTATACACTTGAAATGGATACATTTTATTAAGATGTAACATGTATATTAATCTACCTTGAAAAGTTAGTAGTTGATATTTTTGATAGTAGAAAATAAAAATATTCAATACAAGCAGTCAACTTGTATTTTACTTCTTAAGTAGGCAAACTAATAAGTATATATTTGTGTGTTTTGTGCATGGACTCAACTAGTGTTTGACTATCTCCTTGGTTGAAGATGTGCTATAATGTCTTTTAAGTGGAAAGACCTGGAGCCCAGTGTTGACCTTAGGATTTTACACTCCTAAGTAAGCTGGTGTGCCTAGGGGCCAACAGCTGTCCCTTGATCTGGCCTCACTTGCTTTCCCCCATTTGGAAAGGTGTTAGCTCCGTGGTATTTCTGTTGCTGTAGTCAGCACAGAGCAAAGGAAGACCCTGACTATAGTTTTACAGCCTTAAGCTTCATCTTGTGCTCCAAATCCACAAAAGAGCAGCTGAGAATGGAGCTAGCTGTGCCACCAATTGCTTCTCTTCCATTGTTAATCCCTGTGCTTCTCCTGGGTACCCTTCTTTTGACACCATCCTGTTGGTCAATATGATATGGCTGAACAAGTGGTTGGTGCTTTGAAAGGTGACTCTAGAGGTACCTCAAGTGACCCAGCCCTGGCTGGATGGGATACTCCTGCCATTCAATCCAGGAAGCACCACAGCATGTCTGGGCCTACCCTTTCCATTCACACTGGGTCTGACAAAGGAGGTGGCCCTGTTGCCAGCAGCATTCCATTACTAAGAAAAGGCAGTGAGAAACTTCCAGGACTTAGGGCTCTTACAGAAAAGTTTGTGCTCTGACATCTGAGCCTTTAGATCATGGTAAAGGCTAGTTTGTGATTTGGGGGGCGGGGGGTTATATGTAAATATCCACACATATATGTATTTATGTACATGTACTCTGTGTTTGCAGGTATGCGTGCTTCTGCTTTACTCCATCACGACCTGGTCAAGATGATATGGTTTTACTTAAAAATTCATCCATCTCTTTCACAAACCCTGGACTTTGTGAAAATGAAAACAAACCCAAACCATTATGAGTCACTTTTCAGTGTGTGTGGATTCTGTTAAAGAAAGTACTAGAATTCAGCTAATTGTATTCTAAGTTACAGGTGACTGCTGGACAGGAATTCTCAGCTGTGTCCTGGGGTCAAGGAAGCCCAGATGGTCGTCCTGTGCCTGGAGGTTGGGGAAAGGAAGGGAAGCATCTTCTCCCATCCCCAGCTCTCCCCTTAGCTCCTGTAGGAAAGGGAGTAGCAGGAAGTAGAATCTGCCCTGGTCATGGGAGTTTGGAAAGAAACAAAGCATGATGTTATGAAGAGCAGGTTAATCCCGGTATTTTACTTCCCTTTCAGAAAGAGTGGGGGCAGGGTTGCCGTATAAAGTATTTGGTTTCACATCTGTTCCAGGAATTATCCTCAGCATAAATCCATCTTTCTTTTAAGCATCCGAAAGCATCCCAGGAGCTGCTGCTCCTGCCCTGCCTCTCACCCTCTCAGTTTATTTCCTGGCCACAGAGCAGCTGACAGATTCTGAGAGATAATCTTGTCATTGCTACCAAAGGAAAGGATCTGGGAGTCATATAGGTCAGAATTTCTGTGCATCAGAAGTATCACTGCACTCCGCTTTCAGCAAAGGGTTTAGAACAAAAGTGAGCAGCACAGCAGCTCAGCAGTACAGCATAATGAAGAGGGTACCCGGCTGAGAATTGGGAGAAATGGGTCTCATCTCAGTTTTACTATGTGTGATGGTTAGACAAGTCACCAAACCTTTGGGCTCAGGGCCCTCAGCTATAAAATAGGAGAATGCAGACCAGGCACTGCTGGTGGCTCATGCCTGTAATCCTAGCTTCTCTGCAGGCTGAGATCTGAGGACAGTTCAGAGGCAGCATAGGCTGGAAAGTCCATGAGACTATTAACTCCAGTTAAACACCAAAATGCAGGAAGTGGTGCTATGATCCAAGTGGTAGGTCACTTTAGCCTTGAGCTAAAGGTCAGGAACAGAGCCCAGGCCCTGAGTTCAAGACCCAACACACACACACACACACACACACACACACACACACACACACGTACGTTTCCCAGCATATACTTGTTAACACAAGTTTTTGTGGTCATATTGATTTGAGGAATGCTATCCGCTATATGCTAGTTCTGAAAGACTTGTAATATATTACCATATTAAACACTCCAAGGGGTCTTTTAATAAAGGAATTTATAACCCAGTATTTCTCAACATTGATCTGACTTAGAGCCATTTTTCCTACAATGTTGAATATCTTGACATTTTGAGCAATGAGATTTAACTCCAAAATGCTGCAGATCTGCAGTCTATCACATACTGTGTTACCACACTCAGTCTAAAGTAATTTTCCCCCTTTCAAATCTCATTTTTGGAGAATGAGAAACATTTCATATGGAGCAAGGTGACTTCCAGTTTTAAAAACTGTGAACCGATTGGGGTGGGAAGGTGGCTCAGTGGTAGAGCACTTGCCTTGCATGCAGGAGGCCCTGGGTTCGATTCCTTAGCACCACATAAGCAAAAAGAAAAAAGCCAGAAGTGGTGCTGTGGCTCAAGTGGTAGAGCGCTAGCCTTGTGCTGAAGAGCTGAGGGACAGCGCCCAGGCCCAGAGTTCAGGCCCCACAACGGGACCCCAAAAAAAACAAAAAACAAAAAAAACTGAACCGAAGCACCAAACCAGTTATTCAGCCAAGACAGAGCTACAACTAGACTTGGGGAAAGTTCAGAGATGGCTATTTGCACCCTTACCTGTCAAGTGCTTTTATTTCATGTGGACTTGGGTATGTATTTTGATGAATTATTCCAGGAATTAATTATGCTCTACCCATTATTGGATGCACTAAAGAATAACAAAAGAAATCAATCACAAGACTCTTGGTCTATAATTTAGAGTATAAACATATACAAGGAAAAACAAAATTTCAGACTTCAGAATAGGACAAAACATGATTATAAATCCTTACCTTCATAAATGTGAGCCACATGAGAGAAAACATGTGAAAATAGAATCAAGCAAAGGAAATGTTTGTTTGTTTTTTTTTGTTGGTCGTGGGGCTTGAACTCTGGGCCTGGGCGCTGTCCCTCAGCTCTTCAGCTCAAGGCGGGCGCTCTACCACTTGAGCTACAGCGCCACTTCCAGTTTTCTGGCGGTTTATTGGAGATAGGAGTCTCACGGTCTCTCCTGCCCGGGCTGGCTTTGAACCGCCATCCTCAGTTCTCAGCCTCCTGAGTAGCTAGGATTACAGGTGTGAGCCTCCAGCGCCCGGCTAAAGGAAATGTTTTTTATAGTACCATGGGAAAGTAGCCATTTCATCTGGTATAAAGGAGCTGGCTAAAAATTTAAGTCCTGTGTTGGGGGCTGGGAAGGTGGCTCAGTGGTAGAGCACTTGCCTTGCATGCCTGAGGCCCCTGGGTTCGATTCCTCAGCACCATATAAGCAAAAAGAACAAGAAGCCAGAAGTGGCGCTGTGGCTCAAGTGGTAGAGTGCTAGCCTTGAGCTGAAGAGCTAAGGGACAGCGCCCAGACCCACAGTTCAGGCCCCACGACCAGACCCCCCCCCAAAAAAAGTCCTGTGGTCAGCCTTGGAGGTAGAGATATGGCTCAGTGATAGAATACTTACCTAACATGTTTAAGGCCCTGTGTTCAATCCCCAGCACCAGGAGGCGGGGGCAGGAAGTGGGAGAGGGGGAAGAATGTAAGTTCCACCCTAACAGTCCTAACTTTGTAAAATGTATGGCTAATGACAAAACTTTTGTTGTTCACTCTTGTTTTCAGTCTTGCTACAATAGCCCAAGCCAGCTCAGAGCTACATTGCTCCTGTTTTAGCCTCCCAAGTGCTAGAATTATAGGTGTTTGCCACCATATCTGGCTATGATAAATCTATTGAGAAATAAAATGGGTGATTTATTTACTCACTCAGTTTAGAGAACTGTCATCCACCTATTTGAAGTATTGATCTTAATTACTATTGAGCTTTCAGTAATGTTGACTCTCCACTCTACCTCTCTGGATGCTCATTCTCTCATAAAGCATGTCATGCTTTGCTGCATTGTCATTTTTATTGTTCTTTAGGATCCTGTGTTTGGCCCTCTTTGTTACTTGTAGACAACTCCAAGCCTGTATGCATAACTGAGGTGGTCACATATGGTATTACTGTGCATGGCACAGTTCTGGGGCTATAGTCATAAAGTATCTACACAGCAGCCCTGCTCAACATACACTTGTTTTTGGATCTGTAAATCCAAGCTTCCTCATGTCAGTCACATAGGGCCCAAGTGTACATAACCCACACTGAATTCACCAGCCTGTCACACTTTATTCCTCCTGGAGTCCTTGCCTTGTCACTCATCAAAAGTGAAATCAGAAACCTGAGCCTTTTTTTTTTTTTTTCCAGAGCTGAGGACTGAACTCAGGGCCTTGTATTTGCCAGGCTAGTGCTCTTCCACTAAGCTAAATACCCAACCCAAAGTCTTCATTTTTACAATCCATTTTTCCCCTCATATTCAGAGGCTATGCTGCTTCATTCACTCAAAACATTGTAGTTTGGGTTTTGGTTGAGACAAAGTCTTTCTATGCATCCCAGGTTGTTTTATAACTCACTGTGTAGCTCAAACAGCCTTCAAACTCCCAGCCTCAGTCCCCTCAATCCCCTTCCCAAGTATTGGGATTATACGCATGTACTACCACACTCAGGTCACTCAGAACTTTGTGGGGGGAAAAATACTAGGTACATGGTATAGTTACTTATCTTTAAATATGTTAAAGATTTTAAATTTACAGATAACTGATTTATGTTTTAATGGTATATGCCTGTAATTCCAGAACTGGGGAGCTTGAAGCAGGAGGATCTCAAGTTCAGAACCAATCTTGGTTACATAGTTGAGACTTGTATCTCAAAATAACAACTGCTAGGCATTGTGGCTCACGCCTGTAATCCTAGCTACTCAAGTTGCTGAGATGTGAGGATCATGGTTCAAAGCCAGCCTGGGCAGGAAAGTCTGTGAGACTCTTACCTTCAGTTAACCACTTGCAAATTGGAAGTACAGCTGTGGCTCAAAGTGGTAGAGAACTAGCCTTGAGTGAAAGAGCTCAAGGACAGTATCCAGGCCCTGAGTTCAAGCCCCACAACCAACCAAAAAAAAAAAGGCATATTTACCTACAGCCCTTGTAGAATTGAGTGTGGGGAATGTGTTAGGGTTTTTTTGTTTTGTTTTGTTTTGTCAGTCCTAGGGACTTGAACTCTGGGCTTGGGCACTGTACCTGTGCTCTTCAGCTCAAGGTGAGCCCTCTACCGCTTGAGCTACAGCGCCACTTCCAGTTTTCTAGTGGTTTATTGGAGATAAGAGTCTCATGGACTTTCCTGCCCCAGCTGGCTTTGAGCCGTGATCCTCAGATTTCAGCCTCCTGAGTAGCTAGGATTACAGGTATGAGCCACCAGTGCCCAGCTACGTGCTCATATTTTAATTGACCATTTTCAGAACATAGTAGTTTATATCTACTTCCCATGCAACCTCTCATAGCCCCAGTTGGGGAAAAAAGGAAAATAAAATATCAGTCAGCAGAGCATTTTTATTTATTTTTGTTTTTATCCATGTGTTTTTACCCATAACTTCAAGGAAGACAATTGCAAAGAGCAATATATAAGGCAGGATGGTACAATAGAAAATACCCTGGGCTCAATTCTATTCCTATGGCTTTCATTTACCAGCTGGCAGTTCTACACAAGCCAGACAACCTAGTAGACCCAGTTTTGTAATACAAAATGCAAATACTTTTGTTTAGATTTGTCTATGCCTGCTATATGTCAGGTGTTTTGCTGCAGACTTTGAACTAAAATAGTTGCTGTGTCTTTTTCAAGGAGTTCCTGGGAAAGCCAGATGAAATACAAGTGAAAATGTACATTTTTGTTGTTGTTTTTTTTAATATCAAGGGACACCTAGAATAGTCTCACTGTTCAGTCATCAAATACATTTCTTTTGGCAGAAAAGCACACTGATTCATTTGTGGCAAAGTTTGAAA